GCGCCCAGGGGCGGGGCGCAGGGCGCGGAGGTTGGAGGTGAGGGTGCCGCTTCCTCCCCGGCCCTCGGACCTGACCGTCGGTCCCACAGCCACTCTGGCTGCCGCCTCTGCTCCTCGCCTCGCGTGTCCCCTCGGTTCTTGGCTTTGCTCCTGACCCCTCGTCCGCCCACTTTCCACTGGACGCTCACTTTTCCGCGCTCTGACACTGCCTCGCCGCCCTCTCGGGGTCCTGCCTGTCGCCCACCCGCCTCCGCCGGCGCTAGCCTTCTCCCGCTGCGACCCAGTATCTCTTTGTCTCTGTCTCTGAATCTCTGGGTGGTCTCCCAGGCTGGGGACCCCACCGCTACCATGGGAAGAAGGCTCGAAACTCCCCGAGTCGCGGCAGAGGTGGCGGCAGTGCCCTCCTGTCCCTTTCGAGGCCGCCCAGGGGACTGGGGTGTGTGGAGGGGGCGCTGAGGGAGCCGCGCTCTCTCAGTCCAGCCGGGGCCAGCGCTGCACCCCAGCCACCCGACGGCGCTGGGCTCCCTCCTCTGGGGTGACTCTCTCCCTCTCCCTCCCCTCCGCCGCCCGGTCTCCGTCGGTGCCCCGGGGCCTCAGCTGCCTTCGGAAGCTGGTTAGAGACGTGTGAGCGCGGGTTTCCCGCCAAGTCTCCCATGCCCTGCTGGGTGCTCCCTCAGCCTTCACCTCCTCGGTGGTCGCCCTTGCCCCCCACCGCACTCCTTCACGCTGCCCACCTCCCAGTCTGGCGAGACAGGTGTCCAGAGCCCGTTCAGTATCATCCCTCTGGGGTTGGGCAGTCAGGGACTCTGGAAGTGATCTTGGACAAAGAAATGCATCTCTCTGAGCCTCAGTGTCCCCGACATCAAAGGAAATAACAGGACCTACCTATAGGGATGGTGTGCAGAAACAGAGAAAAGCCTGTCACATGCCCACATGGTGCTGGTGGGGGGAGGGGGGAGGGAGGCTACAGCCCTTGGGTGGGGCAGGGGTATGGACTCCATAGAAACGGATCACAGATTCGAGGCTGAGACAGCTTCAGAGAAACCCTGACCTCAGCACCCTCCCCCTTACCCTGCCAGTCACACCACCTCCTGCCCAAATGGGCAATTACACTCTTACCATCTTTACCTCCTCCTCTCTGCTTTCCCAAAAATCAGAGTTTAAAACATTAAGGTGAAGTGGGGTCTCTGCTTTCCAAATGAGGTCACTGTGGCTGCATCGGTGTTGCTGGCAGCTGGCCGTCCATCAGGAGGCGTCCATGTGACTCGGTCCGATTCCCAGCCTCTGTCTAGCACCGATTTCTTTTTTAATGATGCAATTCACAAGCCATTTCTTTTCCCCTGGGGGGATTGTCTTGCTGGATCCTGGACCTGCTTTTTAATTGCTCAAACCCCCTGACTGTCATCTGTGTCATCAGAACAAGTGACACACCACCCTGAGTTCTCCAGTGACAGGGGACAAGTAGTCCAAAGAGGGTGGCTTTGGAAGAGGGGGACGTCCCACCTGGCAGGTTTGCGGCTGCCCTGGCTGAGTTTTTGTTTCAACCTCAGCCAGGCTGCCACCTGGAGCTTTCCTTCTAGAGGGGCAAGAAGGGGCTCGGGACACCCCACACACCCGCTCACACAGGCATCCACACGCCCCGTCCAGGCTCCTGCTGGTGATCCAGCTTTAGCAAAGTTGGTCTTTCAGGTCATCCCTGTCCCTGCTCCTGCAACCCCGAGGAAGCTCGTGGGGACCCTCCAGGACTCTCACTCACATGGAATCCATCCCTCTCCACGACCCAAACCCTTCAGTGGCCCCCTGTGGCCACTGGATTAACTAGACTCCCTCTATCCTGCCTGCCTCCCCCATGCCCCCATCGGCATCCTGGGTTCAGCACTTGGGACAGATCATCCCCCCCCCCAATTTCCTCTTGGATCCTGCAAGGGCTCTTCCCTCTGTCTGAACCATCTCTATCCCTGTGTTCAGCCCAAGCCTGCCCAACCTTGCATGCCACGGGCAGATGGCCCCTCCTGTGGAGAACCGTTGCTCTCCTTGCCTCCCTGGCTCTGCGTGGCCTGCTCCCGTTGATCTGATCTGGAAACTGTCTGCCCTTCCCTGGGTGGGGCAGGGTCTCCCCCACTGTGGCCCATGTCGGCCCACATTTGTTATCTTACATGCCATCCTCCGTCAAGGGGCAGGAAGGAATAGAACATTGCAAGCTGCACCTTCTTCCTGGGCTCTTTTGGGCCCTGCTGGCCAGGTCGGGGGTACTACAGGGACTCTGGCTGAGCAGGCTGGCCAGGGAGCCAGCTACGGGAAAATCTTTTGTGTTTCTGGAGCTCTGCTTCATTTTGGAAGATGAGGATGATCTCTACGCCTGGTGAGCAGGAGGCAAAGAGGACCAGGCAAGTGACTCACCATGCAGACTGGGTTTGCATCCCAGCTGGTCACTTAGCAGCTATGTGACCTCCAGTGAGGTCTGTCACTTATCTCTGCCAGGGATGTGCTGGAGCAGGTATACGCACCCCAGCCTCCCTGACTCCGAAGCTTGGGAAGAGCAGGGGCTCCCTCCAGAGAGGACTCTTGGGCATGTTCTCCAGGGACCCGTCATCGGAACATCTACTCTGCCCATGGGTTGAGACCTGTCTCCCCCTTCCTGCTCCTGGCCCTCCCTGCCCGTCCCCCTCCAGCCCTTCCTCAGGGGGCGGAGCTCTGAGGCCAACAGGGCAACAGGCTCTCCCTGGGGAGGTCATGGACATGGCTGAATGTTTGCCTCCAGGGGTCCCCCACTCAGGTTGCAGTTTGGCAATCCCACGCTGGCATTGACCATCTGGTACAACCTCCTTGATGGGGTGGGGGACAGGGGAGTGGACATGAGGCTCCTGCTGGAATCCAGAGCAGTGGGATGGCCTCACTGTCGGATCTAAGGTTTTTAAGTGTCCTCTGTGTGCCAGGCTCTGGGTGAAGCCCTGAGCACATGTCACCAGTCCCCGAGAATCACAGCAGCTGTGCTGGGACTGGTTACTGCATGGTGGCATGAGGAGTGGTCAAAGTGGGAGGAGATGGGTGCTGTGGGTTTGAATCGAAGCCCT